CAAGGGCTATAAAAGGTCTCATTTGAATTCAGCCTTCGCCCTTCTCCACATCTTTTTTCCTGCTTCAAATATTCGCCCATCTTGCTTCAAATATTCTCTTCCTCCTCTGCATCTCTGCACATCCTTAGCATGGATAGACAAGGAACCGAGGGCCCTCCGCCACTACCCAGTCAACTTTTGCCGTCCGGTGCGCAACAACCCACTCTTCCAGCTTATTGCGAGATGTTGGGTGACTTTCTCCAAAAGGCGCCGTTTCAAACCAATACCTCCAGTACGGGTTTAACGATCTCCCCCTCTTTATTGTCTGTTTTGCTTCTCATAATGCGGCCTTCTATTTCTATTTCTCATCTAAGACTGCAGCCTCCCTCAACGTCCCGCCCGAGCGGCTGTCTGTTGACAGGACCTCAAATAACCGGCCTCAGCCTCCTGGTGGTATCGAACTCGACGGCCGAGACAATATCTCGGATTCTGGGGCTACGACAGAACCGTTGGCCCATGATGAATTGGAGAATCTTCCCTATTGGTATGAGGCGCAGCAGGTTGAAAAGAGCCTTAGGATTTGTCATGTCGGAGATAAAGTATGGCGAAATAATAGATATGTTCACCGTGTGCTTTATGAGAAGGAAACTTATCTCCCAGACCATTGGCTCCCCGAAAATGCGAGGCTCCAGCTGCGGAAGGAGGAGGAAAAACAAAGACGGAAGGGGGAGAAACAAAAGAGGACGAAGGAGAAGAAACAACAAAGGAAGGAGGAGATGCAACGAAAGAGACGTCTGAGCACATTACGTCCTCGACCATCAACACTCAATTAATGGAAGATGGGCTGTCAAACCGCTCATTTCTTTATTTGATATTATAAATACACAGTCATTTATCCATCTGCCTTCTCTTGCATTAATTAGGTGACACTGAAGCGGTGGCTAGTATAGTCGAGTCAACCTCTTGCTCCACGTCTCGCCCATCTGCCGGAACGCCCTAATATGGATTCCCCCCGGGAGTCAGTGAAGTGGTGGCCCACGACCAAAACTATAATTCCCCTATGGGAGTTAGGGAATTGGGTGAATGCTGATGAAGGCGAACCCTCAAGGAGAGTCACAATCTTGCACAGGGATGGAACCCCATGCGGTGTCGGCATCCCTGGGGAAGTAAGCCCCTTCGGGAGCGCCAGAATGTTGTGTGAACAGGCAACAAAGATAAAATCCCATGCGGTGTCAGCATCCCTAGAAAAGCGAGATCCTTGGGGAAGTGAGTCTTTTGGGGCAGTGAGCTCCTTGGGGAATGCCAGAATTTTCATAAAAAGACAACAAAAGATAGAAACCCATGCGGTGTCAGGAATCCTGGGGCAGTGAGCTCTTTGGGGAGTGCCAGAATTTTTAGTGAAAAGGCAACAAAGATAGAATTCCATGTGGTGTCAGCATCTCTGGGAAAGTAGGGCCCTTCGGGAATGCCGCAATTTGAGTTAATAGCCCCCATAATAAATTCCCCTGAGGGGCGCCATAGCCTCAGTAGAGAAGGCCACGAAATTAAAAGTCCGTAAGGAGCCAACATCCATAAGAGGATGGCACAATGCTGAGTGAAAAAGCCACAGAAAAAAATGCCCATGGGGGATATCATCTTTTTTAAGTGAAAAGCCACATGACAATCCTTGAGGTGAAAGACCAGAATACTTGAAATCTTATTGGTTCTTGAAAGAAGACTTGATTTCAGGGTTCAGCAAGCGCTATGAGTTTGAAAATGTAGTGGTTTGAATTGAGAAGTGGATAGATTGTAGATTCGGCGGCTGCATCATGACACATACTTGTGAAAGCAGCCAATAAAACTTCGACTAGAGATACTTTCCAAAAAGAGCTTGGTGATGATTTCAAATTAACCCTAATTTACAACAGCATCTTTCTTCTATTCTTGCTTCTTCTCAAGTTTCTCTTGCTTTCCCTTCTTTCCTGCTCTAGACTTCTGATATTTCATGTAGTTCTCGCACGTTGTTCGAGATGGAGGTGGATAATGCTTCTCCTGTTTCTGTAAGAGCTACGTCTTTGCAGGGCTGTACGCATGGCACTCACTATATCTTTATCTGGTGGTGGAAAACGGCTACTTGAATTGCCATGTTCGTTAAAATTAATTGTAAAGTACCGATTGTCTTCGTGGATGACAAGGTAGACACCTTTGCAGCGACAGTCATTGAAATAGCTACGCAGCATACGCTGCAGCGTGCCTTTCCGTCGATAACGCATCTGCACAAGGCTACTGCGCTCAGTCCATGGCTTCTTGACACGTTTCGAGCTTGGTGGTTGCATCTTGTGGCGTTTGATTCCGATGAAGATAAAGGATCTGGGACTTGCCGGTTATCACTTGACACTATGGGAAGAGCTCTCAATTTATAGCTACAGGCGAGTGCGTGGTTCATTGAGCCAAAAGGCGCATTTTAAAAGTGTACTTCTGTCGAATGTCATTTGGAGCGATCAGTCGTTTTGCTTCGGCGCTTGCACGCGCAGGCCACGATTTGCAATCCGAAACCGTGGCCCTCCCCATTTTGGCTCGCTTCAACTCGGCCACGCGATCCGAATTCATGGCTGGAAGAGCTCGCCAACACCCGAACGCTGAGCGGAGCGTACTGGATTATCGGTGCCAAATATGCAACACTAAAAGAAATCCAAATCACATCTCCACCCATTCTTCATACTCGTCATCAATAGAGCAACCTCGAGTCGAGCTTCTCAAAATCAACTAAGTCTTAGCAGGGTTCGAAAGGGTTGATATACTCTAAAACATGGCCTCCGTTCTCAAAATAGGCCTTTCATTTCCAAAAATCTAGAAATCTAGTAGGTCCATCAGCTGGTGGTTCTGCCATGATTTCTGGATGGTGGCCGCATTCTTAGTGGTAACGCGTAACGCTGCAAGTTGTGGATGGGTCCCATCTGCAAACTAATAGGCCACGAATATTGCCCGAATACCGTCGCCCCTTCCATCCAAAAGTGTACGTCTTCTGCTCGTCCGCAGTCGGAGTCGAATTGAGAATAACGGAATGTGGATAGGGCAAATCATTTTACAATGGAGCTCCGACCTGATTTTATGAATAGGCCACGAATCTTGTCCAAATACCGTTGCCCCTTCCGTCCAAAAGTGTACTTCTGCACTTGTGCTTCTGCGTCCCACCAATTCAGTTTCACGTGATGTAGTTAGATCTTTAGATCTCCCTACGTCTCGTTCCTGGAACCAACCCTTACTCTCAGAAAATTTCATAATCTAGCACGCCATCCAATTTCACCCGCAATCCATTTCGCTTGCAATCCATCGCCATTCCGCTCGCTTGCATTTCGCCCGCAATCCTTTTGATTCTCCTACACAGCTCTCTGGCTTCAAAGAAGCCGCGAATGTTGCCACGTGTGATTTCTTTCATTAAAATTGCAAACGACTGGGCTTCCTTGAACTGATGATTCTCAGCAACTCTTGAGATATCAGCTGGTAGCGCACTGCAGCGCTTTCTGTTGTTGTTCCCCACTCAATATCTCTGTGTTTTATACTGAGGAGCAAAAGCACCGAAGTATTCCGTGTACAGCATTGAAATGAGATGATTACTCTGTCAGTAAGAATAGAGGGTGGTGAAAGTTAGAACTGAAGGGCAAGGTCATCATTCAAAAATTTATGGAATTGTCGAGATCGCTGAGTAGGCTGGTTCCCTTGCAGTGTTTGATCTTGAAATCATATGCTGCCAATGAGGAAAACATATTCATTTTGGGCCGTGGGTCCTTGGTCACCACAGGGCCACAGAAATCGGTTCAATGGCCTCTGCCGTCCACAGGCCAGCATGGCCACAAGTTGGTCGCCTCTGGGCCTACCAGGTCCGTGGACCGCGATCCATGGACCCGTCAGGCCTACTGGCTCCTGCCTCCAGCATGTCAACTTAGGTCACTGGACCTACTACACATGTCCTTAAGCACTGGCCATAGTACCCCTTCCCTTGGTCATTGTGCTAGTGACCACATGATGTAGTCCCTGGCCTTTTGTCAACCTTCTTCTGCCGCTGTGCCTCTGGCCTTATTGGACTTCGGCCCTCAGGTTTGTACTAGCCGGCCCTCAGTCAACTGGATTAATCTCTATTCTGGGCGCGTAGGGCCACTCAGGCTTTCTATTCACTGGGCGGTTGACCTATACGTTCGTCTTGTTTCCGACTGATATCAATTAGGCTAGACTTGACCCTCGGAAGAACAGATACGGTTTTTAACATCGTACTCCATGAAGTCTACCACATTACGTTAAAAATCTCTCAGCTGAAGTACTTACATCCTATATTCGATAAGCCGCATGGGCGGGGAAGAATAGAATGCTGACTAATCTTCCTGATGGCCCCATTGCCTAGGTTAATAACGTAATTCCAACGAACCACCCATGCGAGCGAACCACTATTCAAAATATCTTCTCATTTAACTACCCTTCCACTTCAACGCGTAATTATGCCACCAATTCGCAATAAAAATTCTTCAAATTTCAATTGAGAAAGAGGGGAGACTTGAACTTGCGATAAAATCTATTCAAAATAATGAAAAAACCTCAATTCACGAAGCTGCAAAGCTATTTGATGTGCCCTATGCTACTCTTCACCATAGGCTTAGTGGCAGGCCTTCACGGGTGAAATTTACGCGCAAATTCACACAAAATATCTCCTGCTGAAGAAGATAAGCTAGTTGAATGGGTGCTGGACCAAGCTAAACGAGGATTTCCCCCCCGGCCTGCATTTGTTGAAGATACAGCTAATTATCTTCTGGCGATACGGAATTCCACTACCCCCCTACGCGTTGGCAAGAACTGGGTGTCAAATCTAGTAGCACGCCGTCCAGAGCTCCAAAGCCGCTATTCCAGACGCTATAATCATGACCGTGCTAAGTGTGAAGATCAGCAGGTTATAAAGGATTGGTTTAAGACCTTAGGGGATATAATCACTGAGCATGGGATCCTGTCAGAGGATATATACAACTTTGATGAGACTGGCTTTGCTATGGGGCTCTGTGCCACCACTAAGGGTATTACTAGTAGTGAGCGCTACGGTAGAGCAAAGCTCCTACAGCCTGGAAACCGCGAGTGGGTGACTGTGATTGAAGCAGTGAATGCTATAGGATGGGCTCTACCCCCCTACATTATTCTTAAAGGTCAGGGCTTGTTGGAAGGATGGTTTGAAGGCCTTCCAGAAGACTGGAGACTAGATGTTAGTCCTAATGGTTGGACTACCGACGAAATAGGCCTGAAATGGCTTCAACGGGTGTTTATTCCTGCTGCAAATCCACGCAGAGTTGGCAGTTCTATTCTTCTTATTCTGGACGGGCATGGCAGTCATCTTTCCCCGGATTTTGACCAGCTTTGCAAGGATAATGCTATAATATGCCTTTGCATGCCACCTCATTCCTCACATCTTTTGCAGCCACTAGATGTGAGTGTTTTTGCGGTTTTAAAGCGAGCATATAGTGGCCTAGTTCAGCAGCGAATGCGGCTTGGATTTAATGCCATTCGCAAGGCAGATTTCTTAGATGCTTATCCTGCAGCGCGCGCTGAAGCCTTTAAATCTCGGACTATTCAAAATGGCTTCAAAGCTGCTGGAATAGTGCCCTTCCAGCCTGACTATGTTCTCCAACAGCTGGATATACAACTACGGACCCCTACCCCCCCGCGCAGCAGCTCTAGCAATTCAACCACGTCCTGGGTGCTTCAAACACCTAGTAATCCACGGCAATTATACCGGCAGGCGAATAAGATCAAAGGCTTAGTGGAGGGTCAGCCTCAAGGCCAGTGAACACGGGATGGTCAACGCCACTATTATGAAGAAGCAATACCAGGATATATTCAACGCTAATGAGATAGAGAAGCAAAAACGCAAGAGATCTAGGCGCCGAATTCAACAAGAAGTAGGAGGTTTAACTAGTGAAGAAGTTCAAAGTCTTCTAGCTCCACTTGCAGCACCTACAGAGCCTGCAGAGCCTGTTGAACAGCCAGTTATTCAACCCCGCGAGCCCCTGCCATCTGAGCCTGCTCCACGCCGACGAGCTCCACATCGCTGCAGCAATTGTAATACTCTCGGGCATACAAGATTAAGATGTCCTCAACCGCGTGTAATTTAATTTAATTTAATTAAGCGTTGTTGCGTTGAATAATTCGAATTGAAACCTAACTAGTTGGGATACGGTGGTTTTGGTGGTTCGCTCGCTTGGGAATTACGTTAGTTAATCCCTGGTATGGTGAGTTTTACTAAGCAAACGACAACAGGTTGCTGACTACTCCTACTGTTGCCTGGCAGTATTGCTTGAGATTGATACTGACAGCTATTGCAATTATGCCAATCTTACTCATTATTACTAATCACCCAATATCCTGCCAATAGCCTCCTGCAAAGAGATTTGGGCTTCAGAAGAGGAAGAAGTAATCGATCTGTCGCTTCCAGCTCGGGGCCCATGGCCTGGTCATGCCCGATATATCCCCTATCTCCCTAAGCTCGGCCCACATTCAGAGCTGGCAAGCAGGCCAAGCCGTATAGGAGTCCCAAACTATAAAAGACACATATGAAATTTCCCTCCCAAGAATAGAATCTGACATGACCGGGCCATAATGCCATTCTAAAGAATAAGGGAAATCTGGTATGAATAGATTAAAGATTAGGGAATTGTTTTTTCCCTGGGGATGACATTGGGCATGACCAGGCCAAGGATGCTTTTTGTATTTAATTACCCTATGCCCATAAACTTCTATTTACCATGTCATGCTACTAACTCTAAAGATGAGGTAAACAGGCTCGTATCCTTCATTTATTTCTAATCTATCAGGAGGCCCTAAAATTTACAAAGGCTGGGTAGGGGAGTCCGAGCGAACCGCAGAATGTTTCCCTCGCAGCTGATGGCCCCGCCCATACTGGTCAAACTTATTGTCTGGTCCCATCTCAGCTCTCACAGGGCCTTCAGACACACGACTGCGATCCCGGGAAAGCTGCTGAAGAGTTTCGTCTGACATTTGCCCCAGCCACTGGGCTGATCTAGATCCGGTTGTGATACGCTTCGCCGAGATGAGCTCTCCCAGTGTTGAGACAATGACTTGATGAGCATCATCAGCCGAGAGAACATCTTCGAATTCGTTGAAGTGCACCTGCTTTGTTTGCTCGGATGCCTCAGCACAAATGGCCAGACACTGTTTGAGGCTATTTCTTTCTTCCTGGAATTGCTCCCACTCGGCCGTTTCCTCCATCTTGACCGCCTGCGACATCGCTTCCAGTCTGGCCTTTAGTCTTTCGGCGTGTTTCTCGAGATCTGAAGACGCGGTCAAGAGTTTCTGCCTGTACTCCTGCAGAATGCAGTTGGTGACATATTTGGATGAGCCAGAATTGAAATTGCCAATCGCATCAATCTCCAAGGGTGGGATGGAAGCCGTGGGGGTCTCGGTCAAAATTTTGGGTTGGAGTTTGTCTATGTGCTCGAGGGCGTCCGCGCAGATTCGGAGGCACTGTTGAGTACTATTCCTTTCCTCCTGTATTCGGCTCCACTGCATGCTATCTTCGTGCTCCACCTTGGGTCCCTTTGGAATGAACGAGTCAAGTTTGTTTTCAACGTCCTGGAGATGATCTTCAAGATCAGAGGTTGTGTTTGTTATCATATCTCTATACTCGTTAAGGACAGTAGCAGTAACAGTTGTTCTGCGGCTATAAGACATATCGTCAGCTTGATTGGGAAAACACGCCTTAGAGAGACATACAAAGTCGCATCCCCGAGTGCAATATTAATTGTAGATTTGTATCCTGCCAGCATCAATCTAAATCGGCCTATGTCTTCTCCCATGTATGTCAACTTGGCCCAATCTCGAAAGCTGGTCTTAGAACCCGCCGAATGCGTCACGCATTTGTTGATCACGTCTTCGAATTCCCTGCAAGCTTTGCCGCAGCGAAGCAGTGGGAGATTGAGCCCAGCTAGTTCATCCCCATAGGCCACGACCGCCTGTTGAAGGGATTGCAAAACCCCATCAAGAGACTCAAGCTCCTCCTTCAGCTCCCTCACCACTCGTTTGGTACTGCGAAAGCTTCTCGACCGCCTGATACAGTGATTTGCTTGAGTTAAAAGCAAACCCTGCCAGGGTGATGATACCAGAAGCAAGGGAGACAGGTTCCGCCATTGGAGCAGTATAGGTTTCCCGAAATCAGGTCAAGGACGGTAAGTTCCCAGCGAAGATTGCGAGTTGGGTAGGGGGTTTTGGTCACTTGACAGCCCCGCGCTAAATTCGGCCAATCACGTGATTTTAATGCTGGGACGCCAAGACGTGGCCTGTAGTGGGAAAATGGCTTGGCGTGCTCCTCATGGGCATATCCACAAACTGACCTTGGCTTGCTCCACAATGTAGTGGTAACGCTATATATATAGGTAGCGCCGGGTCACGTGGATTAACAAGGTCATGTTCTCCATTCGTGGTAAAGGTTAGTGTGTCTGCCAGGCGACGGAGACCAGGCCATGTCATTCTGACATATCTGCTCTTTCAAATTTCTTATTCCTGCTAGGTTTTACTCTACTAAACTGTGTTTATTTATTGGCTGCAGAACAGCTCTGTCACAGAGGCTATGTTGCGGTCCTCTCAACTTGTCAGATGAAATGTGGGGCCTCCGGGTGTGATTTAGATTATAGGCACTTTGTAGCAAAAGTATTAAAAATAATTAAGGGCCAGAAATAATGACGGGATATGGTTCATTTGATTGATATTTCTAAGTGTATATGCTCCTGGCACAGTGGAAGCAGAGATCGTAAACATACAGGGGGAAATTGGGGTGATGGATGTGTTCTAAGCGGTAATGTATTTGTAGATGCGAGAGAGAGAGAGCCTGAATGGCTACGGGTCGTCTGGGCTAACCGTGCTGTGGACATGGTAGGCGTGGCTCTGAAGCTCCATCTTGCTCTCGAGGACCACATCACAGCGTGGGCATCTGATCGTGTCTCCAGGCTTGATGCGCTGGAGGTGTTTACGTCCGAGGTGCTTGGTCACCCCGCCGTGGGTAGAGAATCTATCCAGACAGATGAAGCAGTAGAGTGGCCGATGGCCCTTCATCACGGCCCCCGCTGCGATCTCCCTCTGGCTGGGAGGCGGAGGGACGTGCACCTCCACCCTGACCCTCTGAAGCGCCAGGGTGGTATGTCTCTTGTCATGCGGGAGTCGGCAAGTATCCCCCTCCTCGAAGAGGCAGTATGCCGCAACCGCGTCGATCCCCTCGGTGCGTCGAAGCATCTCGTCCCACAGCGTCTCGCAGGGCAGCGAGAGAAGCGCCGAGATCAGTCGTTGCTGCGGGGGCGGGACTTTCTCATTGGTGCTCCGAGACTCACCGAATGTCTTTGAGATCTCGATCCCGGACAGCTGTCGCTTGATCTCGCGCAGGGGCTCCTCGAAGTCAAATTTTTCCTGTACATCACGTAGGAGTTTGTCTCTCGCCCGCTGGCGTGCGCCTGCCAGCTCACAGCTGATCTTCCTGTGGAGCTCGTACTTGACGGTCCCCTTGTGCTTCTTGAAGGGTCGCCCAAGGCGTCTGCTGAACAGATCGCGTTTCCGGATGAGTTCCTGGATGTGGGGCTGCTGGTTGACCGACCTCGACTGGGCCGTGGTCAGTTCCTGCGGCCGGCGCGGATTGACGGAGCGGAGCATCCGGCACGCCGCGCGCATGATATGTTCCTGCGGGTCCAGACCCTGGACGATGGCGCGAACGTCCTTGTCCACCTTCCTGTGGAGATAGTATTTGAGGAACGTACGGGGATCTGAGTGCTGGAAGATGAGACTGCGAACCGCTTCGCTGACGTGCCCTGCACAATAGAAGCTGATGAGTGACCGGTGATCGGAAGCCAAGGTCTCCTCCCCGATCGGGACTTACCGCTGTTATCTAGCGCCTTGCCGGCACCATATCGCAGGCTGTACGGCCGAACGATGTCGCGGAACGCAGATATCTCCCCGATCCGCCTGATCCAGGGTTTGATGGTGCCGTACGTCAGCGCGTCAATGGCCGATATCTCGATCGCTTCCAGTGTCCGCTCAGAC